TGAATGTTGCATGAAAATGTTGCAGTTTCCATTCTGTCTGAAGTAGTGATGTAATGGGCAGTGGAGCGTGGTTATAACATGGCGGTGCAGCACGAACACTTTTAGCAAGGGAGCCCGAGCACCGATTAAACCTCTTTTGGAGTGTGGTGGAGAATGGCGGTGAAGAACGGTCTCTTTTTGGGTGGGGCGCGGTGGAGTTAATAACGCGCTAAGGCATTAATTTATTTAAGGTCATCAGCATACTGAACAGTGGATCAGATAAGTCTATGCAATGAAATAGTGGTAAAGTGTTGGCACTATCCAGCAAACTAAAACGACATATCATTGATATCAAGTGTGTACGTTCTGGGGAGACGTCATTTGCCTGTGACATATTTCACTATCCCTAGGTAAACGCTGTCAGTGACATAAAAGAATTCATAATCACGAAATGTCTCACAGAGTGTCAAAGGTGTCATAAGAAATCCAGTCAAAAGCTATGTTTATATTCAGTTACGTAGTCTAGACTGTGCGAATTAGGTGCTACCATACGATATTTAGGCTATACTATAGGCATAGCGTTTAAATTTACCATCATCAATCGTTATACAACGACGTGAAGCCGAACACAAATATTCCAGCATTAAAAAAAATCTAGTAAAACGTTTCAAAACGCATTTTCTCTACAAACTCAGCTGCAGGACATTTATGTATGATGCATCAAGTCGGTGGTGGCAAGCGTAAAACGACTAATGTTTAGTCAATCCAAGCGAAACAAAAGAAAATGGATTATGGTAAGTTATAGGTATATAAGCAAAAAATAACTTTTTTGCGGATTTTTTCATTCTCGGACTGATAAAGGAGGAATTTATATCGATGATGAAATCAAGGAAACAGGGGTATTTCGATAAGCTATTAATGAAATGTTTGTAAGAATTGATGAGACATTGAAGGTTGAAAAAGACAGTTGATCAGATAAGTCTATGCAATTAAATAATACTAATAGTGTTGCCAGTACCGTGGGGGTGGCTGTAAAGGCATAATTACCAAAAATCGCCCTTTTGGAGACGCAGTTCAATATGAACCCTTCTGGGATATGGCGCTATTGATGAGAATCAACAACTTTCGGATATAGATAAACTTACCTATCTAGGAAATATGTTAGAGGGGCAGCTGCAGCAGCTATACGTGGACAACCATCGACTGCAAATAATTACGTGTCAGCCAAAGAAATTCTTAAGAAACGGTTTGGACAAAAACAAATTGTGATTAACGCCCATATCGAAGGCCTTGTAAAGTTATCTCCTGGATCTGAAAACACTTAGACAACGCCAATAAAGAGGGAGCACAACAGGTGTTACCGATGAGAAACGACAAAGCGTGTTTTTATTGTAAGAACTGTAAGATTCGGGCTGAAACTATCCTGAGGTATATTTTATTGATATTTTATCACAATACCGGGCTGAATTTTCAGCCCTGAAATACCATGAGCAGGTTACCACCGGGATTTTATTTGACACTGGTAGTCAAAGGTCTTATATATCCAGTAGGGTTAGAAATATACTACCTTTGAAAACAATAAGAGTAGAAGAGGTTGTGATCAAAACATTTGGGCAGTCTGAGGATAGTGAGGGGCAAAAGCTTGATGTAGTTCAACTTAAAATTAGAAATAAGAACAATTCTGGTTCACATTTGTAGAGGTCTTATGTGTTCCCTCTATTTGTAGCCCTCCCTCTAACTAAGCAGCCCCTTTGGCGATGTGTACAAAATACCTGAATTTGCAAGGCTTATCAAGATTATCTCCGAGTAGGAATTTTAATTGGCATAGATACAACATTTTCGTTAGGCATAGGCGTTTTGTTTTCATTCATAATTTTCGGTATCTTGCGTACAGCTTCGTGAGTTCTGGGACAGTTCTGAAGAGCTCTATTGCGCAGTCGTCTACCTGCGGTTAATTTATGACAGCTTCAAGAGCAGTTGCTCATGAAAGAACAATCGAATTATGATAATCTGTGTGCATCATTACGGTTATTCGAAGATACGGACGGCCCCTTGTATTGCATACTGAGTTAATGGTAAATAATTAATATACCTAATATTTGCAAAATTTACAAATTATGTGATCGGAGACACATTGCCGGAAAAAAGCAATTATGTTTGTTAACCCGTGACGGTGGTATAAGGTGATTAAGGCGTGAACGGTGAATCTAGCTGTCGCATTCTATCAAAAGTTTTTAAACAGAAAGCATCGCGTCTTGCGTGCAATGTCGAACATTTGGCTTGATCTAGAGCTGCATCATAACTTGATGTGGGATATAGTCGCATTGTCCGCTTTGGACCCGTTTATTTTTTCTGACTAGTTGATAGTTAATAATGAATGCCATAGACCTATTCCAAAAAGAGCAAGAGGTCTGTTTCGGGTTACATGAAAACGAGGCTAGTTACATTTTTCTCCTGAATTTAAAATTATTTTGTTTATTTTCTCACTATGTCGTTGGAACTGTTGCAAGCTACAGATAAACAAAGTTTGTCTTTGATGCTTTGATTACTATCTCTATGTGTAAATCCCAATACTTTAATACTGTTGGATTCTATTCTTTAAAGACTGATGTTTGCAACAACTAGGGTGGGTGGGGGTTGCTCTATTTCACGTCGAAAAGAGATAAACATCTCCTTGCACTTTTTTGAGTTTAATTTCATATTATTGGAACTTGTCCAATCACTAATTGCGATGCAATTCGTTTTGTAATTTGGATACCTCGCTTGTTGCATGGGACAACCTCAGATATTGTTACGTCGTCAACGCGTATTCCCAACCATATGCGGCCAAAAATTGGTGGTTTTTTAAACTAAATAAATCAATTTTATGTCAAGAAAGACAACTTTGTTTGGTAAATTGAGATATACCTCTGTGAAATTTTGTTGAGAATGGAGTAAATTTCTTACATTTTTTTATAATTAGTAATTAGGAACAATCAATCATTTAAACGTCATAGGTTAGGAATGCAGATATAATATGGGTGAATCAAGGGTTTTAGAGTGAGTGAGACGTGAGTGATCGGGAAGATAACTTAGGAAATAAAAGGAGAAAAAACCAAAACTTTGTGAGTGTGTTGGCCTAACCTTACGCCTCAAACGGCGTTCCCAACACAAGTGGCACCTCCGACGGGATCTGTGAGAGAAATGGAAGAAGCGATAAAACAAATCGAGATAAAACAGAAGTTAGCTAAAGGCACATGTGAAACCTTAGAACGAGCGATCGAAAGGCGGAATATAACGAGCATCGAGCGTCATAAAAACACCATACGGAAAACCGCAGACGAGATTTACGAATTAAAGGTAAAAGTACAAGAGATACGGATAGGAAACGGAGACGAGGCGAGCGAGATTAAAACATGGACGGACAGCATAGAACTAGAACTCGAGAGATGGGATAGTGAGATAGCGAAAACATTAAAAATAACGAATAAATGGAAACAAGAAGAGGAAGAGGAAGCAAAACTGCACAAGCAAGAAATCGAAGCGAAAGCGCGCCATGAGCAGTTCGAACAGCAACTGGAATTCGATAGGACTCAAATGGATCTAAAGCTGCAACATGAAATTAAACTGGATAAAACGCGTAAAGAGTATGAGAAGGCACGAAGTACGAGCGCAAAACTACCTAAGCTTGTAATCACACCATTCCACGGGACACATTTGGACTGGCTACGCTTTTGGAACCAATTTGAATGCGAGATCGACAAGGCGGACGTTGCAGCGGTGACGAAGTTCTCCTACCTTAAAGAATTGGTCGGCCCAAAAGTGAAGTCATCCATAGACGGTCTGCCATTCTCTACGGAAGGTTACGAGCGGGCAAAGAATATCCTAAAGACGAAATACGGGGACGACAGCGAGATCGTGAATGCGTATGTACAGAACCTGATGAATCTACCGAACATACAGGGAACGAATCCTGGTAAGATACACACATTCTATGATAAGTTAGTGTTTAACGTGCAGTCTTAGAGACATTGGGGAAGCTGAAAGAAGCAAATGGGTACGTTCGCATGACCTTAGATAAACTAGAGGGGATACGGGGAGATTTAGTTCGAACAGATGATGGCTGGCGGCAGTGGGATTTTGTCAAACTAGTAGATGCCCTTAGGAAATGGACGGAGAGAAACCCCACGAGAGTCGATGACAGGTCCCTTGATAAAAATAGTAATAAGTTCTCGAATGTTCTTCGAACGAAAACATTCCAAACGCGCCAACACGAAACAAAACAGAGACGGTGTGTTTATTGTAACGAGATTGACCATATGTCAATCAACTGTCCAAAATTAGTTACGTCTGCCGAGCGAAAGAAGTATCTAAGCGATAAGCGTTTGTGTTTTAACTGTACTGGGGCCGATCATCGTGCCTCCGATTGCCGAAGCCGATTTGCTTGTACCAAATGTAAGCGTAGACATCATACCTCGATTTGTGACGCCCCGGGTGATACGACGCCTCCTGCTGCGCCCTCTAATGACACGCTACTTAACACCGCAACTTGTGCGTCCAATAGATCTGTCGTCTATCCTGTCGTAGTTGTTAATATAAATGGTGTTAAATGTCGCGCCTTAATCGACACGGGGGCGGGAAGTTCCTACGCCTCGTCTGCATTGCTCGACAAAATAAAAGCTAAACCCCAAAAACGAGAAATGCGACGTATAGAAATGATGTTTGGGACTTCAACCAATTTGGTTGGAATTTATGCTCTAAAAATAAGCGATGCAGAGGAGAAGTTTTATATCGAGACCTAAGTAACGCGAGTTGAGAGAAGCGACCTCTTGACCTTAGACAATCCGAAATACCAACAACTTATTTCAAAATACAACCACCTCCAAGGCGTAACTATGCAAGATCGGGACACAAAGGACCACCTACCCGTGCATGTAATTCTAGGGACTGGGGACTACGCCAAAATCAAAACGTCGACGAAACCGAGATTGGGGTCACCCGGAGAGCCAATCGCTGAGTTGACTAAGTTTGGGTGGACCATTATGTCTCCGGGCGGTGAGAAGGTCGACCTGAACAACATGTTACTGACACAAGTGCACCGGGAAGATTACGAACAGTTATGTAGGTTAGACGTTTTGGGCCTACAAGATACTCCAACTGGTGATCAAGAGAACGTATACAGCGAGTTTAAAGAGCAGCTATCGAGAAGCGAACATGGCTGGTACGAGACCAACCTCCCGTGGAAAGGCAACCACCCCCCGCTACCTAGCAACGAAAGCGGAAGTTTGAAACGCCTAAACAACCTCGTCAAAAGGCTGCAGAAGCAAGGCATTCTAGAGCGGTACGATGGGGTAATTCAAGAGCAGATGAATGAAGGGATCGTGGAAAAGGTCGAAGCAGAACCACAAGGACGGGAATTTTACATACCACACAAAGCAGTGATTAAAGAAACCTCAGAAACAACGAAGTTACGAATTGTGTACGACGCGTCAGCGCGAGAGCACGAGAATTCACCATCCTTGAACGAGTGTTTAGAGACTGGCCCACCGTTGCAGAACCATTTATGGAAAGTGCTCGTCCGAGGACGTTTCCACCCCGTTGCGTTGACTGGTGACTTGAAACAAGCCTTCCTTCAGGTTCGTATTCGCGAAGGGGACCGAGATGCCATGCGCTTCCATTGGCTCAAAGATCTGACGACAAAAGAGGTCGTGACGTTGCGCTTTACGAGAGCCCTGTTTGGTTTGTCCCCGTCCCCATTCCTGCTCGGGGGAGTGATACAACAACACCTACAAAAACACGAAGAAGAGCACCCAGAGATCGTGAAAGAAATTAGTAAGAGCATGTATGTCGACGACTTGGTCAGCGGAGGAGAAACAGTCGCGAAGGCGAAACAACTCAAAGAAATCAGTACTGAGATCTTTGAAGATGGGACGTTCCAGCTGCACAAGTGGCACTCGAATGTTCCTGAACTCGAGCAAACTCCCACAACCTCCTCTGTAGAAGATACGTTCGCCAAGCAACAACTGGGGGCGACGTCATCCCCATCAACAATACTCGGCCTTTCATGGGACAAAGATCAAGACGTCATACAAGTAGAGATACCTGCTGAGAAAGCTCAGCCAACCAAAAGAGGAATCCTCGGGAAAATCGCCAAGATATACGACCCCCTCGGAATAATCACACCGATTACACTGCAAGGAAAACTATTGTATCGGGATTGTTGTGATCGTAAAGTGGCCTGGGACGCGAGATTGCCAAGTGATCTGGAAGGGAGATGGTTGAAATGGGAGACGAGTCTTCCAAACCACGTGAACGCCCCAAGGAGCTTAGCTCAGTTTCTAGAAAAGATCGAAGATGTCAAGCTCCACGCGTTCGGGGATGCGAGTGGATACGGAGTCGCGGCGTCGGTATTCGCGGTGGTTAAACAACAGAGTGGGATCTCCCAAGGTCTCGTGGCCGCCAAGTCGCGTTTGGCAAAGAAGAACCTGACAATCCCTCGTTTAGAGTTGGTATCAGCTCACATGGCCACTAACTTGGTCCACAACGTTCGAGAAGCGTTGGACGGGTTTCCAGTAAGCCAGGTCTTTGGTTGGTTGGACAGTACAGTGGCCCTGCACTGGATACGTGGAGGAGGAGAGTTCAAGCAGTTTGTTGGTAATAGAGTGCGAAAGATCCAGGAGAAATCATACATTCAGTGGCGACACGTATCCAGCGAAGAGAATCCTGCTGACCTGGGTAGCAGAGGAGGGAAAGTCAGCGAGAAAGAGCACCTCTGGTGGAAAGGGCCAAAGTGGCTACCTATCCAAGATACCTGGCCAAGCGATATCGTGACCAACCCAAACCCCGAAACGATAGCAGAAATAAAACCATTGAAGAGTTTGTTCAAGATCGCAGTCCAAGAACCAGACGAGTTTGATCAGTTGTTGAAAAAGTGGAATTTGTGGAGGACCCTGAGAATCTGTTCATGGATTTCGCGCTTCATTTGTAATATCAGCAGAGACAAAGAATCAGTAAGCGGTCCACTGTCCACCGAGGAAATCGAGGCGCGGAAGTTGTGGTGGATCGCGAGAGTGCAAGAAAGGAATAAGAATACGGCGGAATTTGTAAAAGATCGGGCAGAGCTAAACCTCCAACCATGCAGTAATGGTATCCTTGTCTGTCATGGTCGTATCCAAGGCGATCACCCAATCTATCTCCCAGACAAAGACCACTTCACCGAGAAGTTAGTGGAGCATTCCCATAAAGTGACCCTCCACGGGGGAGTGGGACTGACTATGGCCAAGGTTCGAGACGAGTACTGGATCCCACGACAACGAAGAATGACTAGACGAGTGAGAAAGAACTGCTTTGGATGCAAACGGTTCCACGCAACACGACTACCAAACCCCCAACCGGGAAAGTTACCCAAAGACCGATCGTCAGGCGAGTTACCATTCCAAGTCGTAGGAGTCGATTACGCGGGTCCGATCAGATATCGTGCAGGAAACAAGCAAGAACGTAAAGCCTACATCCTAGTCTACGCCTGCTCCTTGACACGCGCGCTATACCTCGAGGTGACGAAAACTCTGAGCACGGAAGAATTCCTTAATACCTTAAAAAGATTTATAGCGAGAAAGGGACGGCCCGAGAAAATATATTCAGACAATGCGAAGACGTTTGTTGCTGGAGCGAAGTGGCTGAAACGAATTATGCAGGACGAGAGATTCAACGATGAGTTGGCGAAGATGGCAATCAAGTGGCAGTTCAACTTAAGTCGAGCACCTTGGTGGGGTGGGCAGTATGAAAGATTGATAGGTCTTATCAAACAAGCGCTGTACAAATCTATCGGTAACGGTCATCTTACTTGCACAGAGTTGGAAGAAGTGATCTTGGACATTGAGGTGGCTCTGAACAACCGTCCCCTCAGTTATGTTGAAGATGATGCACAACTACCACTGCTGACACCTAACATCTTACAGTTTGGACGCCCGAACATCCTTCCAGAGCAAAGGAATCAACACATCGAAGATGACGATCTGCGGAAACGAGCAAGGTACATCAAACGGTGCAAAGACGTCCTGTGGAAGAGATGGTCGTCCGAGTACCTCAAAAGTCTCCGAGAAAGACACAACATGAAAACCGGCGAGAAGGTGATACGGTTGAACATAGGAGATGTCGTCATTGTGAAAAGCGAAGAGAAAAATAGAGGGAAATGGAGATTGGGTATCGTGCAAAGCCTCATCACGGGTAAGGATGGAATCGTGCGAGGAGCGAGACTGCGAGTGGGACAAAAAAAACATTGAACGAGCAGTTCAACGCTTGTACCCGATGGAGCTTTCGTGTGACGCAGAACTAAAACCGGCAACTTCAAAACTTAGAGTTGATGTTCCAGAGTTCCGACCAAAACGAAACGCTGCAGCGATAGCAGAGTGTCGCATCAAGGACATTGGTGAAAACGAAGATGATTAAAACATAAATTTAAACTTAAATCGTTACATAGGGGATTATATTGGAACTGATTAATTAAGTTAGTTATTTCACGAAAAGTTATGTTATATTCGTCGATACAGAATTACTGGGTAATCGAACGTTGATTTGAACATTATTATATAGAATATCGAGAACATGATTCATTATATTCGATTCCTTTGAATCGAATAGGGGGAGGGTGTTGAGAATGGAGTAAATTTCTTACATTTTTTTATAATTAGTAATTAGGAACAATCAATCATTTAAACGTCATAGGTTAGGAATGCAGATATAATATGGGTGAATCAAGGGTTTTAGAGTGAGTGAGACGTGAGTGATCGGGAGGATAACTTAGGAAATAAAAGGAGAAAAACCAAAACTTTGTGAGTGTGTTGGCCTAACCTTACGCCTCAAACGGCGTTCCCAACAATTTGACTTATTTACGCATGCAAAACGTTTCTTGAGGCCTCTGTTCGAACGCTGACCTTTCATAAAATACGTAATGTAAAGCATAATGTTGTGTTTACTACACTTCATGCACTTTTCTTCTGCAAGACTGTTCACTAATTTACATCTCTTAGAAGTAGAATGCATAGCAAGTTGCAAGAAAAATTGCACCGTGTAACAGGGCCTTAATTCACGACATTTTATACATATTATTCCTTTTATAGCTTGCGAAAGGCGGCGTTACTCTGTTTGTCGCACGATGTTCTGTCCAGTCTTACGCAAGCTATAAAAGCAATAATGTAGTATAAAATTGATTTATTTAATCTAAAAAACCACCAGTTTTGGGCTGGCTTGGTTCCAACTACTGGAACGCAGAGATGTTATTTTTAAATTATTGATCATTAAGACAAAAAGGATCGGACCCAATTTGGTGTCCTGAGGGACTCCAGCACTATTTAGTAGCCATCGGGACACGCATTGTCGAAATTTAACACACGACGACGATTTGATGGGAAGCTGCAAATCCAAGGGAATCCAACGGGACACTCCCAAATCGATCAGTTTAGTTATAACAATATTGTGGCCAATTCTGTCGAAAGCTTTGCTAAAATCCAGAAAGCAAGCTCTAAGACTAAGATAGTGACGTGGATTGTCCGTTTTAGAGAGCCAGTTGTGGACAAGATCTAGAACACAGAGAGTGGCGGATGATCCCTTCAGCAAGGTTATATAAAGCAAGGTTAACAACTCCTTTCCGTCATATATATATTATACTCTACAGCTCGTCCGTTCGTTATATATCTGCAACGTCCGTGTGTTATAATGGTTAGTGACCTTAGCTAGGGTATTATAACCCTCTTGTCACTAGCCTGTGTATATTTGTTTACATGTATACGCCATGCAGACCATTAGCCATTTCCCAATCGATCAGGGTACGAGGTTTTGTCGCGAACCGAAAAGCATCTATGGACTGTTTGGGACAAACGCTTCAGACTTATACTTGCTGTCGCTCCAAACAGTCTGTAGTGTTATTATATTAGTATAACATATAGTATTTAGTTAGTTAAATGAGCGCGGGCTCATTTCTTGTACAATATATAAACAGTGTTATAGTCTGTTCTAAAAGACACTTATATTAAAGTTATAATCCTTTGCAATCTCAACACAACACAGTCCATTGATGCTTGCGATTCGCGACTAGACCCAGTACCCTGCTCGATTGGGAAATGGCTAATTATCGTGAATATTGCACAAATTCTTTAAAAACCTAAATTCCTTAAAAAGACTCTCAAAATTCTTCTAAATTCCTATTTCTAAGGAGTTATCCTTAAAAGTGAGAGCACTAGGGAGGAGAAGGCAAGTTATGAAATATATACAACTCTTCAAAATTAGCAATATGAAAGTTTTGTTTCATATAGTTGTTAGTAAGTTGTCTCCAGTACTTGTAAATTGTATAAGTTTTAGTGAATATTTTTCTATAAGTCTTCCAGCGTCATGAGTTTAAAAGGTTATGAGCCCAGCCAGAGTCACAACCGCAGTGAGCCGTTTATTGTATACGACGGTGATGAACGAAAGAACGAGTTATGGGAAGTAAAGTTTCTTGGCTATCTAAGGCTCAAAAAATTGAGCGATACCATACAAGGACCATTGGCTGAGCCGAGGAGCCTAGGTCTAGGTCTACTAGATGATCGAAGCATCGTTTATTATCCCAGACGCAGTTATTAACGATGGACGAAAGGCCCTGGCAATCCTGCGTGAACATTATTTGTTGAAGGGCAAACCACGTGTTGTATCTCTATACATCGAACTAACCTCTCTTACAAAGACGAGCGAAGAATCTGTTACAGATTATAGGTTGCGGGCAGAGATAGCATCCACATCTCTAAAGTCTGCTGGGGAAACAATAAGTGATAGACAATTATTGATCGCAATGATCATCAAAGGATGACCTTCGTTTTCAACTGCGGTAACGCAGACAGACAAAGAACAATCGTTTAGCGATTGTTTAAAGTCTCATTAAGAAGTTTTGAAGAAACCAAAAAACTCTCAAAAAAGGGAAACCCAAAGGAGGATAGGGTCTTGAAAGTTCTCGGTAAATCTGGCAAGGAATTCGTATGTTACAATTATGTTAAATTTTGATACTTTCTCTCTCTGTGGCATTGTTCTATATATTTTCCGCCATTCCCGTCACCAGACTTTGGGATTTTAACTGCTGCATCAGCCTGCACGAGAAAGCTGCTGACCTTTTTAGCTCAGCATTTTCAAGTTTAATTGCTGAATAAAAAGTTAGCATTTTCAAACTTAACTGCTGCATGAAAAAGCCGGCATTTTCAAATTTAACTGCTGGATAAAAAATTCAGCGCTTTTAAATTTCGACATAGCATTACAATATTTGAGTCAGAGAAGAATTTTAAGATATTTAATCACCATTTTATACATTCAAGGCGTCATTGTCAAGATTAACAATGCCATTTTGTAAATAAAGTTACTCTGGATTTTGGCGGTTATGGCTTCTCATAAAATAGCAACTTCGAAAGATAAAATGCGAATACGGATTGGGAATGGTGGATTGAAAAATGCGGGAGGGAAAGTGCGGATAAGGTGATAAAATGCGGATGAGGGAATAAAATGCGGATGGAGATAGGGATTAAATGCGGATGAAGGGATAAAATGAGGACGAACGGATGAAATCGGATGAGCAACCTCGTTCCCAAGATATTTTACCTGGAGTCTGGATTCTGGAAGACTCAAACAACCTCGATTCTGTACCTTGATTCTGTTAATTTATGCTTTTCCAAAATACCTACAAAATGTGGGTATTTTGAACGTCCGATCCCAGGGCCTTTCCTCTTCTCTCCTCCCCCAAGCCCCAATCCCCCTATAAAGTCCCAAAAGGCCCTGGGAACGAAGTTGGCGGATGAGGAGATAAATCGCGGATTAGGAGTGAAATATAGAGAAAAAGGTCGAAACCAATGTGAGGTCACTACAAAGGCAAGAATGATTATTGATGATTATGAAACTCTTAGAATAAATATGAGAGCACAACATATTACTTTTAACAAAGCCATTAAAGATTTATTGGTAACTTTTCGTCTTTAAGACATCTTCAGACTAATGATAAATACATGAAATTTTCTGGTGTGTAAATGGCGTTTGGTTTGACCCACATACGACGCGGATCAGCATTAACGTCTAAATAAGTATACAACACCAGATCTCAGAAACTTGATGAAAATCTTTGGCTACCATAATGATTATGATATATTTAGGAACTTACTTATAAACAAATTATCACAATTTAGCTACTTATATTTGGCAACCTTAACGCACAAGATAAAGGCAGAATGGAGTTGTCAGAAAATACCGTCAGTAAAACTCCTCAATCTGCTTAAAGCCGTATTTGTTGAGTTTTTGAATACGTCACAATACGACATTTTAGTCACGCAACTGAAAATGACGGATTTCATACCGCCGAAACGAGCTGGATCCTCGTACGCAAGTCGCAGTATGACGTCTTTATATCGATTGTGATATTCTGATTTTTTGTGTTAGATCTATATGTGCTCGTTAACGCTTTTGTCTTGCTCTAATTTTAACTTGTCAACTGGTGCTTTTCGCTTTTACTTTCAGGGATAAAATTAGGTAAATTTACGAATTATAATTTTAAGAATCAGCAAAGCGACTTCGTCAGAAAATCATTAACTTCGTCGGTAAATTACTGACCCTCCCCCCCCCCCCTCCATCCCAATATAATTATAGGCACAATGATAGCCACATGCGTATCAATCATTGTTCCAGGATCTGGGAGACGTTTTAATATTGCCCGCGCAATGAAGTTAGTGGAACATGAAATAGTAAACTTTTTTGGTATTCGAAAATATTAATAATACTTACAACACAAATATTACAGTTTACATTTTAAACACCATTACCTTATAATTTAGCACCATATTAATTCAAGTCAGGCATATATATTCACCATGGTTTGTTATTTTGAATTAGTGCATTGCCGACTGTCGGTGAATAATGAAAACCATGAAAACCATGCAGACTTTAAAAACATGCAAGGTATTAAACTGTCGTAAATTCTGCGTGTTCACTCCACCGTTCATGGCAAATGATGTTTCGTCTCAATCACCAAACTAGAAAAAAAGTCCTTCCGTGTTCCATGAAGCATGTGGGGATTAAGTGCATCGACGTGCAGTCACCTGCCAACAGCCCATGCCTGCCGCACATACATATATACTGTACAATTTTTGCCAACATCCTATGCTTGTCGCACATACATGTACTGTACCATTTTCTTTCGAAGCGATAACAAGGCTACGGATATCCAGTTTCTTATATTTTGAGACACCCTGTAGTTTATAAAATCAGTTCGCAGTTTTTATTCTTGATAGCATCACTCAAATAATCGGCGTCTTTAGCTGTTAAACCATTGGATTTTACATAAGTTGGGCAAGTTTGCAGTTGTCACTTCTTAGAGCATCACCTAAATATAGCGCACCTTCGGCTGTCAAGCCATTGTGACTTATATATAGCTCAATAAGTTTACAGCTGTAAAGCTTCAAAGCATCACTTAAATATTTGGCACCTTTAGCTTTTAAACTATTGCGACTAACATAGAGTACAGTAAGCTTGCAGTTGTCACTTTTCAGAGCACCACTTAAATATTGAGCACCATCAGCTGTTAGATCGTTGTTACTGATATCTAGTTCAGTAAGTTTGCAGTTGTTACTTTTTAGGGCATCACTCAAACTTTTCGCACCTTCAGCCATTAAATCATTGGCTCTCACATTTAGTTCAGTAAGTTTGCAGTTGTCACTCTTCAGAGCATCGCTTAAATATTTACCACCTTCAGCTGTTAAACCATTGCCTTTTATATTTAGTTTAGTGATTATGCAGTTGGCATTCACCAGAGCATTACTTAAATATCTCGCTCCTTCAGCTTTTAGACAATTGTCACTTACATCTAGTTTAGTTAGTTGCTGTTCTCACTCTCCAGAGCATCGCTTATATATTTAGCACTTTCGGCAGTTAAACAATTGCCACTTACATCCAATTCAGTAAGTTTGCAATTATCACTCTTCAGAGCATCACTTAAGTATTCAGCACCCTTAATTGTTAAAGTATTGCCTCTTACATCTAGTTCAATTAGTTTGCATTGGTCGCTTGTCATAGCATCGCTTAAATATTTAGCACCATCATCTTCTATATCATTGTCTCTTAAATTTAATTTAGAAAGTTTGCAATTGTTACTCTTCAGAGCATCACTTAAATATTCCGCGCCTTTAATTGTTAAAGCATTGCCTCTTATATCTAGTTCAGTAAGTTTGCAGTTGTCACTCTTCAGAGCATCACTCAAATATTTAGCACCACCAGCCTTTAAATCATTTCCTCTTACGTCTAGTTTAGTAAGTTTGCAATTGTTGCTCTTCAGGGCATCACTTAAACATTTAGCACCCTCAGCTGTAAGACTATTGTAACCAACACTTAGTTCATTAAGTTTGCAGTTGTTACCCTTCAGAGTATGGCTATCGTTTCTCAAAAACTCACCCAATCCACGAATAGCAATGTTCGTCATTGAACATTTGTAGATTTGAAGCTTCTTTAAATTCCTGATGTGACTAAGAAAATTGAACAAAGCAGTAGATTCTGCTGGTGCAATATCTAATCCACGCAAAGAAAATTCTTCATCGTCATCTTCGCAAGCAAAGGACGAAATTAGCTCCATGACGTGATCTTCTTGCATTTCCCAAACACATTTTATCACAAGTAAACCTTTATCAACAGAGTCAATACGTCGAATCTTTGGCATCCAGTCTTGAAACCTAGATAAAGACATTTTGAAAAAATAGTTCATATTGTTAAGAACAAATGAAATACATATAGCTATACTATGCCGCCAATGCCAGCAATTAGCGCGATGTTCGTGACGTTTTTCAGAGTTTTATACTGAGTTGTGCAAATTTACCTCAAGTCCTGGTAGTAAAACAATACACAGAAAGTACTTTTCTAGTGCTTTAACTCGGTTTCGGATACTTAGATTACGAGAAAGTGTTGGCCATTGTATCAAAAAGAGCATAGGCAGCCCAGGAAGCATGCGAAAATTATGTATGCATGTTTATATACTATATATACTATATAAGGTAGGCAACTCTACGAGCTCTGACGAAGTATACGATGTAAACAATTGAAAAATTGCACAAAAAACGCACAAACGCTGATGAACACTAAAAAAATGTTTAAAAACAAAACAATGAAAGTTTCCCTCAATTCTCATGAAAAAATTTTGTTCGAATAGTGTAGATAAGTGCGAAAATATAGCCAATTTTTAAAGCATTTGCTGCCAAAATTTCTTGTCTCGATGCTGGATGCCAAGGGTGCCGGTATTCGTAATTTTTTTTTAAATAAGACGCGCAATATGATTGGCCCGAAAAGTGTAGAAAAATTCTGGCCATTATTTCACATTTTCCATTTTTTTGTGAAAAAACGTTTTATAAGATAAAAAATGGGGGTAACCAAACTGTTTTTGAGTAAAATGTGTAAATATGTAAAATGCCGGCCACATTGAATCGCCATTGTTACCATAACAAAAGCGGTGGCGTCATATTTATGGATGATTTCTGACTGTTAAAATGTTGCCTACTATATCTGGGAAATTTCTCTTCCTTTAGCGAGAAATCTCATGCTAAAATTTTAAATCTAAATCACGAGTTTTCAATATTCCTAAATAGGGAGCCACCTTAAAAGTTCCGCTTTTTTAAAGGCAAATGCGCAGGCAAAAAACACAAAATTACCATCAAAACATAGCTTTAGAAAACTAGTATAACCCAATCGCTTCTGTTATAATTTAAGCATTTCCATATTGTTTTCAAGTCTAAAAATGACAGATAAATTTAGTATCTAGTTTTTTTTTTCAAGAAACTAGCGTAATTTTTGTATTTCAAGCGATCGTATTAATGTATGCATTATATTTTTGTGAGACTGTGAGAGAGTTGCCAGCCTTAGGATAATTATATACATAAGATAGTATACGTGCCCGCATTGACCGAGCTGCCTATTTTACGAAATAAATGAAGCACAGATGCTTGTCAAAATGTTAACAATATGACACACAATCAAAAGGGAGAGTTACTATTTTCTGATCGGTTTTCTTACGTCGAAATATTTTGAATTTCTTAATTTACAATTTGGTACAGGTATCTTAACCTCTCTAATGACATGAAATAGCTGAAGCTCCTTAGCTCTTCGCCATTGGTGCGACATTAGGGAGCCTTAGCAGTGACTACGAGTACAACTACGAGTACGAGATTCGTTATTCTTGCGCGTTGTTTGCTTACGCCATCAGCCAAAACTCGTAGTCGCCGAGCTTTTGAGTACGAGTTTTTTGATAAATTTCGTACTCCAAAGCCCAACGACTACGAGTTTTGGCTGATGGCATAAGCAAACAACGCGCAAGAATGACGAATCTCGTAGTCGTACTCGTAGTCACTGCTAAAACTCCATATTATAACGTGGGACACGACTTTATATCATTCGTTATGACTTATGACCTATAGCGGCACTCGTTGGAGTGTTTGAAGGCTGCAATCAGGCTGTTGAAATACATAGTTCGTTACACCATTTTAAGTCAATACCATTTTTACAGGTGGGGGAAAAACCAAAGCTGGTTACTTTTTTGTGGTTACTATTTTGTTTTAGTGCATGCTTGCTGATGTCACGTACAGTATAACGAGAGAATAGTAAGCCCACTATATTCAACTCAGTGCTGTAATTAATCAGTCACTGGCAGTTAGCCAGCACGAAGTTCTGGGGAGCTGTTTACATGAGCCCGGTTACCCGAGATTCAACGAAGCGTGGGAGGACTTTGAGGTATTGAAATAAGTCTTTATGACACCAAACAAGCACATGCTATTGTTGTGGTGATTATACGACTGCCAGGATCATGTTATCTGCTCATTTCAATACCTCAAAATCATCTCACGCTTCCCTGAATCTCAGGTAACCGGGCTCATGTAAACAGCCCCTGATTGGCTGAAAAATGCAATTGACTGGCTGCAATTTTGCAAATATGGTAATTAATTTCCCTTGGCGTCAATCGAACGCTAAACAAGGGGGACCATATTCATACATTCCGCTATGCCTGGCTTATATTTCTTGAAAACAACTTAACTTTCAAAAAAAATCAGCCTGGCATAAAAGAATATAGGGATATATGGTCCACCCAAATAAACATTCAATTAATTGACGCCAATGGTAATGCCATGCCTAATAAGATATGCGTGATACAAAAATTTCTCACTTGAGTGGTGCTACTTCAGTATTCCCTATACTGTACTCGTTCCATAGCCTTGGGGTAAACATGTACTTAAAAGCTTACAATTTTCAGAATGTTTAGTTTAAAATAATAGTTGATCTTCAATAAATATGTGGGATGTGTTACCTTCTGCATATACTTTTCACTATTTCACTGTCTTCACACTCTGTTGGCCTAATGGGAAAAAAGAATTCAAATCACAGATTAGATACAACCAATAGAAAATTCTCCTATTTAATCTGCTATATCTTATGTTATGATTAAGTCAAGAGATAACCATTGGAGCTAGATGGTGAGTGTGCACATGCTGTCTTGTTTGCACCAAGAAATTCAACGCTATTTAAGGAATTTGTCCCTTTTGGCAAAGGTTCCAAATATATGCATTACCTATTTAATTACAATACCATATCTTTTAGCTGGCTACAATTACATCACTACATCAAATTTAACTGCATGACTACAATTACATCACTATATATAAAAATGAGGCATACCTTAACTCTCTCTTTTTGTCTCCAAGTAACCCAGCTACAAACTGGATCACCAAATGCCACTTGGGATCATCAATGTGATCTTCCAGAAATGATTCAACATTTTTAATATGATCAACCACCTGTAGTGCAGCTAAAAACTCTTGAATGGTGAGATGAAGAAAGGAAAAAATGAACTGATTTTCATCATGTAGTTGATTGAGTACCCCACAATCTGATAAGTCAGCCTTACGTTTATCACTGCTCTGAAACTCAAAAACCAACTTGTCTTTCTCCATTCCATCCTTTGCAATTTCTTTCAATTCTTTTAAATCCTTTTGAAGTTTCTCTGGAAGTTTTGCAGTTAAATAATCTTTTGGAACTTGTTTATTTTTGTACTTTGAATTGTGCTTGTACAGCAAAATCTTTATTGCTCTTTTGTACATTTCTGTTATTGTTTTGGGGACATTGCTGTTCCTTTTATCTTTCCCTTGTTCACCAAAATCAATGCTTTCATTTAATGTCAAGCACACTATATAGGAATTGACTGGTATGTAACAGAAGCTTAGTAGTTCTGGGGAATCTTTGATTATGTTCCACATTTTTGAACTTTTCTGCATGTCATTATAACAAAAAAATTCAACATATTGTTTTATTTGTTCCTTATTAAAACCCAATATCTCCACTTCCCGATCAAAATAAAAATTTTGATAGACATGTTCTGCTGTGGGTCGAGATGTGATTAACACAGTGGCTCCAGGTAATAGTTCATCATTAACTAGCTGTTTAACAATCTTATAAATGTGGGCAAACTCATCAGAGCTGTTGACTGTCTTTTCATCAGTTAAACACTCATCATCAACTTGAAGTTCATCTAAGCCATCAAAGACAAGAATGGTATTATTTGGTTGCTGGTGAATATATTCACAAATGGTCATGTTGTTGAATTGACATAATGATGATCTATTTAAACCATGTGCCTGACTTAATATTTCTCGAAGACTGGTTTCTCCCTTGTTAAAATTGCGAAATCAAATCAATAGTACAATTTTTCCATGCCAGAATTCGATCATTTTTTCTTGTTGCCACTCATTAAATATTTTTTCTGTCAGTAGAGTTTTCCCAATGCCAGGTCTTCCAACAGCAAGAACAGTTCTAGGATGGCTCTCATCCTCATTTGTTGCTTGAAATAGTTCAGCTGTACTATTGAGACTTCTTGCATTAGTGGATTTTTCCAATTGAATATCATAAATCTCATGTCTACCTTTAAACTTTCTTCTGGAATTGTAAGTACTTTCTCTCCCATCTTGAATTAGAACATTTATATAAATCTCCTCGAGTTTTCGTTTCCGTCTGAAGCCGTCACATTCAGTAAATACATGTCTGTTTTGGCTTCTCCGAATCATTTGGTTTAACTGTGGGATCGTTTCTGTGCGCTTTCGTAAAATATACACGCTAATAAACTCTTGATCAGTACGGAAGACAGAATCCTTCCATGCCGACCACAACAGATAAACAAGCTCCCCGAATATCACTGCATCGATGAGAAAATAAAACGCGGTAACGCCAGCAAAAAGCTCTTTATTTCTTGTTCCCTGTAGATAAGTACAGTCCACAAATGAATAATTCTTAGTTGGTCGAGTAACGTTTTCAAGGGTATTAGTCGTGGCTTTATTATTGCCCAAAGGACATTCAAAGTTGGTAGGGAAATTAAACGAGGTTAGGAGTAACGCTGAGAATATCGTCAGTGGTATCATACGACCTATCGAATGCATTAAGTATGCAATGAAAACAAAGCAACGATTACTACTTTGGTAGGCTACTGGCGGCGGTGCATATAGCGAAGTTCCAGACAGCGGTTGTCTTTCTTCTGCGCCGCCATTCGTCTTTGTGATGAGATTATTTGCTATGATTTTTACTCTACGTCTCACCAAAAAACCGTAGAAGAGACTAAGTAATACCACAAGTCCTGAAATTATCCCAATCTGCACGAAGAGGGACCACGAAGGAAGGAATTTTTGTTTGTATTTGGAAAGACAATGTGACTGTGTTTCCAAGTAATTTCTCTTTAAAAAAGTGCTATTTATGTCACATTGTAGACTGGATATTGACTCGACATACCAGGCGAATCCAATAAGAACCGTGCTAATGGCTACAAACAAACCAATAAGTAGTTTACCAAACTTATTGTAACAGCTCTCTGGCAGCAATTTCAAACAGCTTTCCATGTTCATGAGATTATTCTTGGAAAATTTTGTTTCATCCCATAATTTCCACGTCAACCAAATCAGTTTGTAACCAAATGTCGCCTTGGAGTTCTGAACAAACAAATAACCTTTCTGTTTCCCCTTACGGCCTCTTACCTTTCAAGTTGTCACGTGATCTGAGCGAGTAGTAAAGACAATAAGTAAAGACCCTGGGTACGAGGTTGTAACAACGTAAACGAAGTTTAAAGTCGTCTTTCTAGCACTGCTGTTTTGCCGAAGGAGGAATATCCCGCCTTATCTATCGAACAAGCCAAGATTAGTGATTGGAATTCTAAATTTCTAATATAATTAGAAATGCCGGATGCAATGCACTGCATCTAGGATCACATGAAATAGAAGCACGCATGCGCCGTCTGTTTTTAAACTCGAAAGTCGAACGTTAATGTATAACAGCCGGGCGGACATATACCCACTCTGATCACAGGAAGGTGTTCTACCACTAGACCACCGGCTATGTACCAGTGCATACAAAGTTGGGTCTAAATTAATTAGGCAATTCCCATTATAGCAAAGCATCATGGGAAATGTGGTAACCTTGTCTTGCAGGCGAAATGGCCGCCATCGAAGCGAGCATTTCGCATGCGAGAAGTATCGCTTTTTTAATACGCTTTTTTCGCAACATTTGCTAACTTTTAATACATCGACGTGTTCCTAATGCTGCAAAGTTTGTTTTGTTCAAATTGCATTGCAATCGAAGCAAAAATGAGCTTAAAAATGTGCACCAAACAACAGAGGGAGCGGAAAATTGGTTCGTAAATACGTTCTAAGAGGACGTTTCTTCTTGTCCTTTTGAGGTGAGTACTTTTCGCAAGCATTCTACATCCCACCATTTTGACCTACAAATGCGTGCATGCCATTGCTCGATGTATACAAAGTAATTTCACAACGATCGAGTATTTTGTGCGGATTCTTTCGCTTGTTGAAATCGACAAATGTTTATCAAAATATCTGTCGATCGTTCGATCAGCATGGCGTTCAAGGGCAATACGTTCAAAGGGGCTTTAAATCTTTTGGCGCGAAATTTAAGCAACCCAAACCGGTTTTATCCGACCCGGCACTGTTACTTTGCTAAAAACGCTAAGAAGAAAGCAGTTTTGACTTTGGTTGTTCGTTTATCTGCTCTTTTTGTTGTCGACGGCTCATTTCCACTTTCTCGTAGAATTATTCAAGTAGGGTTATAGTATTAAAATATTTTTATAGTGCTAGATATATTAAATTCGTAGGTAAAGCTATTTAATATTAACGATTTAAAATTTAACATAGTATAAATAAGTACAATATATTTATAGCTTAGGTAATTTTTAAAATACTATAGAAGCTAGGCTAGGTCTAAAATATTATATTAATTTATTAGGCAGGCCCTAATAATAAAAACTTCTAGTAAGTTTGTACATATTTAATCTTAAAATCATAGTTTTAAAATTCATAAACATATAAGTTTAAATTAAGTAATATAACTTTTTACTATGGATAATGAGCCAGAAACTTCATTGGGGGCAGATAGAGAAAGCTCCATGTCCTAAAAGAAAGTATAAAGGAGGGGAACAACTTGCTGCATTCCTAGTTGTGATAGTAACACTAGAAAGAACCCAGAACTTTCATTTTATGTAATTCCAACTGATAAAAAGCTCAGGAAGATGTGGTTGCATTGGATTGGAAGGGTTAATTTTGTACCAAAAAAACATCATAGAGTCTGTTCAAAACATTTTGTTGGTGGCAAGAAGACATGCCTTCATAATGTTCCAAATATAGTGGAAAAACTATTACAGCCCAAACAAGCAAAGCCAAGAACAACTTTTAAATGCAGGGAGAGGATTTATGTAGTTAAAGAAAGTGAAAGAGAAGATGAAAGACCAAGTCTAGAAGCTAAGGTTTCAGAACTTGAAGCAGAGAAGAAAATGAAAAGAAACAAAAAGAAATTTTTGACCTAAACAGAAAAATTCAATGTCGTTTCTCAATTCAAAGATTTAAAGATAACAATAGTGATTTTGAGTTTTATACTGGATTTTCTAGCTACAGTACATTTAAGGCATTTTATGATTATCTTTGTCCATCTTGTGAAAGATTAAGATATGTTGGATCTTCCAATAATTCAGGACAAACCAACAACCAGAAGTGTGGACCAAAGAGATTTTTGTCTCCTGAGGAAGAACTTTTCATGTGTCTTACAAGACTGAGACTGGGTTTGCTTGAAAGGGACTTAGCTGAAAGGTTCAACATCTCTGTATCCCAAGTGTCAAGAATTTGGATTACCTGGCTTGACTTTTTGTACAGATTTTTAAGATCCATCCCCATTTGGCCATCACAAAGCTATGTTAGAGAAACAATGCCACAGAGTTTCAAGGAAACCTATCCAGACACAAGAGTTATAATTGACTGTACTGAGTTATTTATCGATAGACCATCCCAACCAAGAAGCCAAAGCGCAACATTTTCCACCTACAAGAATCATAACACCGCGCAAAGGTCTTATTGGAATATCTCCAAGAGGGGACCTTACTTTTGTTTCTGAGCTGTATGCAGGTAATACATCGGACAAACAACTGACAAAAGACTGTGGCATCTTTAAGTTATTGGAAGTTGGTGATCAGATCATGGCAGATAGAGGCTTTGAAATTGAGGAGGATTTACCACATGGTGTCTCTTTGAACATACCCCCATTCCTTGGTGAGAGAGCTCAATTTTCTGAAGAAGAAGAAATTGAAACTCGGCGGATTGCAAAACATAGGATACATGTTGAAAGAGCTATCCAGAGGATTAAGAGCTTTCGTATTCTTAAATTCGACTTGCCAATATCAATGGCTGCAGACCTGAACAAGATTTGGGTCATTTGCTCATATTTAACATTGTTTTTCAGACCCTTAATTCAAGTTCAACTACATGAAGAATGAATGAATTGTTATGTTATAAACCAATAGTTTTTCTAAAGTACTCAATGTTTAAATATATAATTAAATATATTGTACAATGAAATTATAATGAATTCACTGTAAATTGTTCAGACAATCATTATATTTAAATTATGTGAATATAATATGCACATTCAAATATAGTTATTAAACTTTGTCCATTAAATAATCAAAATAGAATGATGTTAATTCAGGCAAAGTGTGTTGTTTCCATTCCACTTCACTAAAATAAATCCTTTCAATGTGAATGTCACTTACTGTATATACAACAAAGTCTACAAAACTCAACTGGCAAATAGCCATAACACCTTGTACTTGGTGGTAATATACATGTGTCTTTTTAAGACAAGGCTTTCCATCAATTAACTCTAAATAAAATGATTTATCTTTACATGCTTCAGCTATAGTCATTTCAGATTTAGACGAAGGGCATTTCACCTCCACAGCTCCATACTCAGCCTTTTCCCTTTGATCCAAAATGAGGGCATCTGGACTTGCACCAAGCCATGGCCATCTAGGATTTACGATCAATCCACAGGCTGCACAAAGTTTTATGTGTTCTTTTAAACTATCTTTATACTGATGATATCTTACCAATGCTTTCTGCTCATTTTCAATTCCCCATTGACAGCTCGCACTCCTGGTCTGAGATGGCTTTGTAATTTTGTTCACAATACTATTAGGATAGATTGATTTTCTTCTCTTCACACACACCAAACAATGATGAGGTCAACCGACATTTTCTTTGTTCATACCACTCATTGCATTTGTTTTGCTTCCGTGTGTTCTTCTCAATTTCCTTGCAACCTTCGTTATCGACAAATAATCTCTCCATGACAAATTCCATACTTTTTTCTTTATCAGGAATAGAGGTACAATCTAATTTTCCATTTAGCCTTTGCAGAATGTTTGATCTTACTGAAGTGTAGTCCAGTTTGTCACCCACTCCTTTTGCACCTACAATTCTCTGTCTTGAGGGTAAGTCATTAACATCAAACTCACATGGTTCACACTTTGTATTGTCTAAGATACCGACTAAATGACTTGTACTTCCTGCTTTTTCCAAACCTGCTTTAAGACACTCCAAATTAGCTTTTGAGACCTTTTCTTTTGTTGAGCAATACCCATCTCTTTTCCCTTCAGGCACTGGACGCTTTCGACCTTTTTTATCTTTATCATATGTATCCTGGGGGAACATCAAATCTTCAAATAATAGGGCTTCTTGTGTTGTGTTCTTTTTGGGGATATGCCATGTCTGTAGCTCCTGGGTGCATGTTTTGTCGTCAGGTATATCTGATAGGCCAAGCTCAATATAATCAAGAAACTGAAATAAAGTAGCTGCCACATGCTTGCAACGACCACCAGCACCAGCAGGACAAGAGCAATTTGCCAAGACAACATTCCCTGAACTTTGTTCAAAGTTAACATTCACAAGATATTGTTTCTTTTTCATTTCTGCATTAACATGGCACCGGACAAGAAAATGGACTTTATCATCTCCATCCTTTACATTAGCTTTCACCCGAAACTGTCTTGGATATCCAGCTTTAAATAACTTGTAGCCACTTTTCTTGTGCTTAAAAGCCTCAGCAGGTTTGCCATCAGTTGTATTTTTATCCTCAAGAATCAAATGCTTTTCTA